CACACACATACACAGAGAGAGAGAGAGACAACAAACTTCCCTCAACTTTTGCTATTAGTTTATACCGTTTTGTAAATTTTAATTTTAAATTCTTAATTTCTTTTCTGACTCAAGGATTATTTTAAGATGACTCACATAAAGCAATATACTCCCAAACAATGAAACTGGACTATTAATTGCTGTACAGCATTTGCTAATGTCTATAATATTTTTACAATTTTTCCATGGACTTTATGAACACTAGGCAAACACTGTGACTGAGATGTAACTCCAGCTATACAAATGTCAACGGGGTCAAACTGTTAACTGTACCATTTTCATACTTTGCACTTAGTGGGTTTGCATAACCTATTACTTACTGAAGTGTAACTGCTATGAATATAGTTCTGTCTATGCATAAATCACATCACTTTCTGTTCTACATATTTTAATATTATATTACTAATTATATGCATCTTAGAATTTTTTAGTTTTCTTGGTAGGTTAGCTTTCTAAAAAATATTTTAAAGTCAGAGATAGTGCCTCACACTTGTAATTAAGCACTTGGGAGGCCTAAAACAAGTGGATCACAAGTATTAACTCAGCCTGGCCTACAGAGATTTCATCTAAAACAAAAAACAAAACCCTGTTTTCAATTTTAATTAAAATGTTAATTGACAAAACTTGTATATATTTATGTAAGATGTTTTTTGATATATATAAACACAGAAAGGCAAAGTTACGCTAAGATATTCCAGTACCTCATTTATTAGTTTTTTTATGGGGAGAACACTTAAAATCTATTCTCAACATTTTTCAAGTAGACAATACATTGTAACCGTTTTGCTATTTGATTCTTTTAGATTGACTATGTAAGATTCCATTATAATCAGATCATGCAGGATTTGTCTTTCAGTGCTTATTTCTTTTTATATAGTTATCTTCCAGGTTCATTTATGTTGTTGCAAATGGCAGGATCTCCTTCTGTACAGCTGTGTTTCCATTGTAACAACTTTGTTATCCACTATCCATGATGAATACTAAATTGATTCAATGTCTTAGCTAAGGTGCAATAAGCTGCAATGAGCATGGTTGAATAAACTTAGCTTTCTGACAAAATGATCTAATTTCAGCTCGATAGACAGCCATATAAGGAATTACTGGATCATACGGTAGTTATACTAAATGTGAGGCAGTATCCTATTGAGGATTTAATTTAATTTCTCTAGTGATCTGTCACATAAAACAGTTTTGTTTCCATATACTTGTTGGGCCACTTCTTTATCTTCAGGAAATGTCTTTTCAGGTCTTTTGAACATTTTTTTAAAGCAGCTGTTTTCTTGCTATGGAATTGAATTCTTCATCTATTCTAGATATTAACCTCCCATCAGATGTGTAGCTTGACAATATTTTCTCTCATTTTGCACTTGTCTCTCCAAGATTCCTTTATCATTTGTTGTACAATTTTTCAATTCTATGCAATCTTATTTGTCTATTTTTGCTATTGTTGCCTTGCTTTCTAAGTCATATATAAAAAAAGACAACAACAAAAACACCTTTTCCTAAAGTCAACATCAAGAAGTGTTTCCTTCAAGCCTTCTTTCAGCAGTGTTTCAGATTCAATCTTCAGTTTAAGTCTTTAATCCACTTCAGGTGGACTTTCATATATGGTGTAAGAAAAGGGTCCAATTTTAGTCTTGTCAGTGAGGCTCTCTGTTCTCCTCAGAACAATTTACCCTCCTCAAGGTATATTCTTGGCAACAAGAAAAAGCAATATACACAGCCTTTCAGCTATAAACCTGAGAAGTCAAACATCATTTTTACCATCCTCTCATTAATCCCAATAACTCCAAGCCTATCTGAATTAAAGAACAAGGGACATAAACCCTAGCTCCCAAACAATAGGGCTATGTGACACTCAGTGTTGGTACTAAAAATGAACTCTATTTTGTAGGCATCTTCTAGAAGACTAGCCATTCCTCTTAACTGTCTGAGCCATTTAGACATTTTGTTTTTCATTTTCATTTTCTTCCAGTTGAAAGTCTACTATTCTTGTAACACTTTATATATCCTCTCCCCCTTGAAACCAAATTCCCATTTTTAGATTTTAAAATTATATAATTTTAACTGTCCCAGTAGGACAAAAATATTCTACAGACAGATATTTGTGTTATGTCAAAAGATACTCTATCAAACTAGTAAATAATGGTCACCAAGACACAGAATTTCTTTAAGAAGTTCACACTAAAGCTTGGTACCAGAGGAGGAAGTTACTTCCCAAGAAAAGATTTTGCACAGTTATAACAACATGCCAGACTATCTGGAAGGAAAGAGTGGAGCCCAGATAATGATGGCTCAGCAGGGACCGGCAGGATCACACTTTGACCAGGACTGCTGGGCTATGCACCACCAAACTCTAAAGTTCTGTCCATAACCATATGAGCAAAAGTCCTCATGAAGAAAAACAGTGGAACAAAACCAGCAGCTAACAAGTATAAGAGACGCATTTCATTTGCTGCTCTCGACAGCCACTTCAGGGTTTGTGGCATAATCAAGGAACTGAAAGGTGGAGGTCACCAGACTTCTTTGCAATGTGGCCACATTGCGTAAATCTTCTCTCTCTCCTTTTCACTGTTATTTCCCTCTTTAACTGGCCTGTTGAAGACAGGTAGCTAACCCTGCTTGTTGATGCTGCCAGGGCCAGGCTCTGAGCCTGACAACTCCGGAAACAGTACTGCAAGTATAGCTGGACTTTGTTCTTCTTTATTGCCCATTCTTGTGCCAATAACATATTGGTCTGAAAAATGATAAATTTTAATATTTAAAACCTCTCTTTACAGTTTTCTCTAACAAATTCATTTCAAGAGCACCTTTTCCAGGCATGAATTTTAAAATAAAACTAGTTATAAATTAAGATGTATAGGTTATCTATATTTTAAATTTTTAGTTAATAACTAGATGCAATGGCACAGGCCTTTAATCCCGGCCCCTGGGAGATTGGAGAAAATTCAGAAGTTAAAGGCCACCCTTGGCTACTAAGCAAGTTCAGAGTCAGCCTGAAGTACCTAAAACCCTGGAAACCAGAACAAAACAAAACTCAGGTCATTCACTTGGTGGGCAGAGTATCAGTCAGAGTCCACACAATGAGCAAAAATGAACAGAAAAGAACCGTCTGTAGAGAAACAGTGGGGCAACGCCAGCAGCTAACAAGTGTAACAGACACATTTCATTTGATGTTCTCAACAACCACTGGACACAGGTGGAGAAACCGACGGGCGACGAGAGAGAAGACTCATAGACAAGTATCTAAGGAATGGTGAAAAAGACAAAACAAACACAAAGGAAGCACAGAGACCAGAAATAGAGTTCATGAGTATTTTACCTTCCAACGCTATCCACTCAGACCGACAATGACCACCATACGAAACTGTCCTCACCCTCTCCTCCTACCTAGCCACAGACGTGGGCTAATAAGCTCCTCCGACACAGCAGCTATGCCACCTTCCCAACCTACTTTTTTGTTTCTCATAAAGTATAAGCCTACCCATAAACGACAGAAAAGCATGTAAGCTTTCTCTTCTTTCATCAGTACTGAACCCCAAACACTGTGTTACCCAACTGTGCTCATTTTAAATACATATGAGTTCCCTGGTGACGACTAGGGGGTAGAAATATAGCTATCCTATGCCTGGCTCTGAAACACATTGAATATACAAAGAAAAACAAGTTTTCACATAAAACAGAGCACACAAATTAATACCAAGTCACAGATCACATAACACATATCATCAAAGGGAACAAGTTAGTGAGTCACACAAGGCACCCTCTACTTCTGCACATGCAAGCAGGGCTGGATCTCCTGAAATTAACAGAGAAGATCATTAAGAGTTTTATCAGAAGTAAGTATTAGCATCAACAAACCAGAAAAGTGGATCAGCACTCTACAAGTACTTTTCTAAACAGAAGGGGCAGGCCAGACAGGGAGAGAGGCTTGTGCATATGCCACATTCATTTTCCCTGACGTCTAAGTCAAAGAACCTAAAAGGGAGAGATGGGAATAGAGAGAAAAGGGAAAAGCAATTCTTGCAGAGATGATCAACATCAGCTTACAGGAGAAATACGTATCAAAGCATCATACTAAGTGACATGGAAAAGTTTCATGCAATCCTTCTGCTGTGATCTAAGCACCCCAAAGAAGGAACACAAATGCCCAGAGATACGGCTCTGGAATGGAGAACATACATCTTTGGAGAAAACACCGAGACAATAAAAGGTTCTGAACCTTGCGGACGCCCCGGATCACACTCCCCTCCTCGACAGTAACATTCCACCAGCGCCATTACAGTACGCCACTACTGAAAAACAGGGACGCTGGGATGGGGGACTAAGGGTTAGCTCTCAGTCTTCAAGATGATCCCAACAAAGTAAGTCCTCTTATTCTCTCCACGGTACAGATAATGAAAATAGAGTTCAGAAAGGCTGTACAAATTTGCTGTAACTGGGGTGGGAAAGACGTGCCAGCAGTTAAAGCACTTTCTATGGAAGTAAGAGGCCGAGAGTTTAGACCCCAGCACCTCCACAAACGCAGATGGGCACGGCAGCTCGCCTACACTAGCTTTGGAAGGCAGACACGGGGAACCCCAGAGAAAGCTAGATAGTAAGAATAACCTATCAGCAAACTCTGGGTTTGACTAAGAGAATCTGCCTCAAATAATAAGATGAAGAAAATTCTTGTTATCAGTCTCAGGCCTCCACACCCATGTGGAGGTACTCCCCCAACATGTGTACCCAAATACATGTGAACATGCATACATACACTCTACATATACACATACATGGAAAGAAAAAAATTTCTATTGTCATATTCAGGAAATACAAGCTCAGAAATAAACCCAAGCCATGTGGCTCTAGAAGTTTGCATTTTAAGTATTACGCTGTATTGCTTTTCCCGTATTACTGTTAAATAATCAGCAGACCTAGATATTATACAGTATTTTTAATTACACTAAATATTTACATACCTTGCACAGTAAGCTCCGCCTGAGCTTCAACTGTCTTATTTCCATTATCAGCTATACAAAAATAAGTCCCAGCATCATCCTCAATGACATCACTGATCTCCAAACTACCTCCTGCTAGCAAGACCAACCTTCCAGAGCTGGATTAAACAAACAAAATGATACATTTCAGCATGAGGAAAATGATACCCAAGAGGCTCTTCACTTAATTACAGAGAAAACAATCAAACAACAATGTTATAGTGATGGCTACAAGTGGATTAAGAATAACAAAAATCATCAGAATTTAATTTCAGTTTGTTTTGCTCATATTTTATATGCATAAATGCCACAGTGTATAAATAAATCATCAATATCTCTGACACTTCTTAGCTATTCCGAAAAAGTTATCACTTTTATGATGAATTCAACTTCCTCTATCCTATTCCTATCTTCCTATTCTGGTCAGTTTGTTGGAAATTATATATTTGAAAGTCTGCAACCAATCTAAGACCAATTTCAATACAGCTATGCCATGCTGAGATTACTAATAAGAAGAAAAAAAAAAAAGAACAACTGTCAGTTTGAGCAGCAAGTCATGAGGTGACAAGTCACGAGGTAGTGCCAGCAACTGCAAGTTTCCCATACTGGCCTGGAAGCCAGGAAGGAAAGGGGAGGTTAACTGCCACTGAGCGCTCCCTGGGTGTGGTCCGGCTAAAAATCAGCTACCATCCACCACTCCACTTACAATAAGGGTGCTGAATACTTTCATAAACCTACAGTGATATGAGCCTATTTACATAAAAACTAAAGTAAAATTATAAATCAGTGTTCTCAAATTAAGTTAAAAAGCTTAGTTATCTAAACTTTTAATTTAACTTAATCTAGAGAATTATAAACTAGATCAATAGACAAAGATACCTGACAAAGAAACAAGAAATATAATTCTACAAGTATATAATTAAAGCAGCCACTTTGTTTTTATTTGTTTCATTATTATTTTCAGGCTGCTGTTGATTAGAAACAAATTCTTGAAAAGTGAAGCTCTGAAGAGGAGACTGCTATACTTCATGATCTTTGAAGTCTGAGGAAGACATTTTTCACAGTAACATCACCTGTAGTGTGTTCGTCAAGCCCCTTTAAAACTAGGACCTGCTCCTTTGCACCCAGACTCAGAGCTGTCATCCCCTAAAAGAAGGTATTATTTGATCACTAAATTATATTTTGTTGCTGCTCACCTCGAGCATTAGTACTCATATTTTCTGGGTCCTCTTCAGAACAGAACCATTTCTACCTCCCTCATTCTATTTGTTTTTTTTTTATCTGAACATCTATAAACAAAATTAAAAAAATGTTATTGGTTCTTGGACATTTATTTTCAAAAATGTATGTGTTTTTCAAAAATGTAATAAAGACGCCTAATGTTTAAGATACTATTGAGATTTCTAGACATTTCTCCTTTTAACTTCCAAATCTCAAATCTAAATAATATATTAGGCATAGTCCACCCACACTTCTCCTCAGGTGCTGGCAAAATAAAGGCACTATGAATAATTACCTGCATCCAACCCAACCTGAAGGCCTTCTGTGTTCTATTACCTACTCCTGTTTTCTCACATTATACTCGGTAACTCAGCCAAAATCCACTGCCAAACATTCTGCCTCCCCAGATCTGCATCAAGTCCTGTGCAAGGATCTGCACAGGGCTGACACTGGCAACTTCCCGAACTTCTCAACAAGGCAGTGTTTCTCAGACTTTCCACTACGTAATCTTAGGTGCCTAGAGAACTAAAGGCAGAAAAAAAAAAATCTGCTTGTTCTACAAAGTCTCCTGGTTTACCCTTAGAGTTCACAGAAATATTATTAACCATAATATGTTCACATTGGGTTAAAATCCACTTGCTCCCAAAAATCATCTTCAAATAAAACTGGGAAGACATATAATTTCCTACCATGATTTGTTTATACTGGCCTCTCAGACTCCACCCCGAGAATTACCTTTCTATGAAAACATTCTTAATACTCTATATACCAACTCCATTCTACCTCTCTCTCATCCCTGGAATACTGTGTCTTGAGTTTCTTCAGAGTACTTATTACAAACTGACACTTTATATTTCCATTACTACCTCATTCTTCCACTCTAAAAGCAAAAACTCTCTTTACTACTTGTTTTTTTTTTTATCTTTAACTTTATTTTTTTATAATTTATTACATCCTGATGGTAGTCCCCTCTTTCATCTCTTCCTATCCTCTTTCCTTCCCTCTTCCCCCATTCCCTACCCTAGTTCTCAGAAAAGGGGAGCCATCCTTCCCTACCGTCTGACCCCAGCCCATCAAGTCTCATTAGGCCTGTCTGTATCCTCTTCCTCTTCGACCTGGCAACAGGCCCCCACCAGAGGGAAGTGATCAAAGAGTAGGCAACAGAGTCCATGTCAGAGAGAGCCCCTGCTCCACTTACTAGGAAATCCACATGGAGACTGAGCTGCAAATTAGCTACATTTTAGCAGGGGTCCAGGTCCTCTTTATGGAAGGTCCTTGTTGCGTCAGTCTCTGCAGGACCCCATGGTTCCAGGTTTGTTGGCTCTGTTGCTCTCCTTGTGGACCTCCAGGAGAGGTCCCCCACTCTTCCCTGTGACTCCCTGTGCTCTGCCCAGAGTTCGGCTGTGAGTCTCAGCATCTGCTTAGATCCCCTGCTAGTGGAGTCTTTTGGAGGACATTACAGTAGGCTCCCATCCTGTTTCCTGTCTTCAACCACTTCGGTGTCTATTCTATTTGCCCTTCCGAATAAGAACTAAACATCCTTAAGACCTAGGAATGTACCTAAAATATCATTCAATAATGATTCTTTTGAATTCTGAGTAACTGAGGAGGGACCACAAAAATCCCCACTTCTATTCATTAAATAAAAATCATTCTGTACTTGCTTATAGCTTCATCTTGATGTGGTCTGCCGAATGGCATTTCACTCTAAGAGGCACCTCACATGGAGTACTACTGTCACAGTACTGCACAGACATGCCATCCACACATGCAGACTGTTTTAGCATAAAACTTTCATTTACATCTGAGGCCTGTACTACATTCATACTGGAAAGCACTGTCTCTAAAAAAAAAAGTCATTCTCAACCAGGGAAGATTGTGTTCCTCAAGGGACATCTGACAATATCTAGACTTGTTTGGGGTCATCATAACTTGAAAGTGCTTTGGGTTTCTACAGGGTAGAGGCCAGTGATGCCAGGAAATATACAATGCTTAAAACAGCTATGGTTTGGAAACAAAGCATACTGAACTACTGAACCATCACTACCACTCCAGTTTTCTTGAAAAAATAGAACTGAAGAAATTCCCCGTTTCATAAGGAAGAGACAAGGGATGCGTAAGATGATGACTGGTAACAGAGAAAGCTCTTGCAGAAGATAAATAACTTGTGAACATAGTCCATGGCTTGGTAAGACTTCAGGAAGCAAAACAAAGCCAGGTATGGTGAGTGCAGGCAACGCCAGTGCTCGGGAGGGTGAAAGGCATTTTCTTACACTGAGCAAAGGGAGAGACTACCACAGAGTGGTCAGGTCTGGCAGCTCCTGAGACCCCAAGAGCCAAGTATAACGAAGCTTAACAACAGCACTAACCACCACCCCTTACTGCCTTGAAAAGCCTGCTTTTTTTTAAACATCGTATTAGAGCATAAAAACACATTTCAAGGATGACATGAAAACTGTAATGGGCTTAAACAAAGCAGTTTTTGCTTTGTTTTGTTTTTTAATGCACTGATACTTCCAAACTAGCATTAGACCAAGCCTCCAGCTAAGGCTACAAAGCAGTCTTAGGCAGACAGTATTTACCTCTCTGTGTCAAGCACTTCTTCATTTTTCATCCATCTAATGACTGGAGCAGGAAGTCCTGAGGCAACACATGGCAGCACTACACTCTGACCAATGACCTTCATCACAGAAGACGGTCGCATCAAAAAGAGTAAGTTTAGCATTTCCTCAGAATCTAAAGAAAATTTAAAAGAAAGAATGATTAATTAAATAAAAGACAAAGTATCTCACAACTTTAGCCATGAAGAACAGCTAGTTTCTATTCAGTTTGTGTGGCTTTATGTGGGGAAAAAAAATAAGCAAAACTAACAGAAGAAAATTCCATTTGAACAGCAAACATTCCCACATACTTTCTATATGTGAAGTATTAGGGGTTGTAAAGATATTTAAGTGATAGTTCCTGCTTACAGAGTACTTTCTGGTCAAATGAGCAAGATATAACATGAATCCATGCAACACCATGTGAGGGGTACAAACAGAGATGAACAGGCTCAATAACTATGTATCATCCTTACTGATGGGAATATAAATCTCCTTTATTTTCTTGTGTCAATTTTCTCTCAGTCTTTTGGTTTTCACCTCTTTAAATCATTCTATCAAACCTGCCATGGTAGTGCCTGCCTTTAATCTCAGAAAGCAGAGGTATGAGGCTCTCTGAGTTTGAGGCTAGCCTGGTCTAAACACGGAGTTCCAAGTTAGCTAGGGCTACACAGTGAGACCCTATCTTTTAAAACAAAAACAAAAATTACTCTATCAATCCTCTGATTTGTAATGTAGCAACTACCTGGGCAGCACCTGTTTATCAAGCATGTTCACTTTTTAGAGTTGTCTTCTCACGGACACACTGCACAGCCACACTCCTATTAACAAAAGGTAAGTGTTCTACTTAGTGGAACACTTAGTTTTATTAATAACGAAATTTGAGAAGATCATTCTCAGGTAGAGATGTAACTCTTGTCCCCACTGTCAGGAGAGGTGTTTCCCATAGTCATGGTTACAACCACCAGAACAGCCTTTAAACTTGTCTAGCCAATTAATGATAATTTTGTAGCCATAGAAACAAGTAAACACTATGAAATACACAAGTGACAATTTCAGTGACTATACTTCTGAAAGCCAATCAGTACAAGCCCTGCCTTTAAAAGTCAGCCAATCACCAAGCAGCTGAGTTGCTAGTGTCTTAGGCCGATAATTACCTGTACCCATCTGTACAGCCATGACTGACAGAGGCTTCTCTGACGGAAATCAGACCACTCTCTTTTAAGCAACATAACCTCAGAAACTCTGTACAAGGTCAGGAGTTGGCTATGCTAAAAACTGACTAGCAAAAACATCTCTCTTCACAATTAAATGAGCAAATATCCAGCACTTTGTTCTTATTTCAAGTACTAAGTTGTGGTTTTATCCTTTGAAACCATTAACCTTGTTTTCCTGGAATAGACTCTGAGTAGCTGCTTGAACGCTATCTTGGGTATAGAAAGGAAATATGACCAAGCAAGTCAGCTAAAGGACATTATTATGCAGCAAGTTTCTTTTATTACACTTTCAATTACTTAGGAATACTTATAAATTTATATCTATAAATGTAAATATATTTAGTCATATTTAACAGAATTAATTCAGCAAATTCATTACAAACATTTATTGGTTTTTATGTGCCAAACAAGATTCATTGCTCTCACTGAGCTTACATACTAATAGTGAAAGAAAGACAATAAATTAGATACTATATATACTGCATATGTTGATATATTTTACGTAGGGAGAAGAAAAAGCACTGGAGGTGGAAACAGAACCAGGTGTTGTTTTAAACAGAATGTCTAAGGGACCATTTACTAACAAGGTGATATCTGAGCACTGAAGACATAGAGAGAGACACACACACGATTCTAAGCAGGGATACCCAAGTAAAGCATTCTGGACTGTTCGAAAAGCATTCATTAGTCACAACTGAAAAAGACATGAAGAGGAGAAGGAAAGAAAGGTCAAAGAGGGAAGAGGTGTTAAGATTATATAAAGGCCAAAACTTTAATTGTAAATGACCTAAAGAAGTGGGCTGACTAGTTTTTACATCAATTTGACACCAGCTAGTCTTCCGGGAAGAGAGAACCTCAACTGAGAAAATGTATCTACCATGTTAGCCTGTGGGCAAGCCTGTGGGGCGTTTTCTTAATTAATGGTTGATGTGGGAGACCCCAAGTCAGTGTAGGCAATGCCACCCCTGGACAGGTAGTTCTGAGTTGTAAAAGAAAGCAGGCTGAGCAAGCCATGTGTGAGTGTGCCAGCAAGCAGCGCTCCTCCACGGCTCTGCTTTGGCTCCTGTCTCCAGGTTCCTATTCGGACTTCCCTTAGTGATAGAGTGTGACCTGAGAATTTTAAGTCAAATTTCTTATGACCAAAGTTCTTTTGGTCATAGTGTTTTATCATAGTAATAGAAACTTAGCTAAGATGGAATTTTGAGCAAAAGTTGTCTAGTTTGGAAAGTAAGTGTTCCCGAGAATACAGTAGGGTGGGAATTATATGGCAAGGATAGTAACAACAAAGACAGAAGCTACATTTAAAAAAATAAGTTCAAGGTCCATCAGCAACACCCTCAGAAGCACAGCTTCTAACAGTGGTCTCACACTACAAGGCAGTCCCCATGCTATAAATTAGTCATACATTTCTCTGAACAAGAATTCCTCTGCCCAAACAAGTTAGGGATGGCCAAATTGTGTATATAACTTGAACTTAAAAAGAGAAATATGTAAAGAATTAGGCATTCTGCAGGTCATAAAGCAGCAACTGGCTACAGTGACTACAATGACCTTTCAGTGAGAGGGTATAAGCATACACTGGAAAAAGATTAAAAAAAAAAAAAGCTGACTGTTATAAAGAGTGAGAAGACAACGAAAGACTGACAGAGGCGCTTAGCTTCCACTAGAACAGAAATGTCCAGGAGATGTCACCAGTTACCTAATAATAGTTACTGTTCTACCTGTCTCTTACACCAACTGCCTTGGGCAAGACTCCATTAGGTTAAAAAAAAAAATCTAACTGTAAAAAAGTATCCTATAGTGGAGACAGTAGAGAATAGAGCACGGACAGAGTTACAAAGCTAGCTAGGCATGGTGGCACACATCCAGCAATCTCAGCTCTTGGTAGGGTTGGCAGGAGGAGATCATCCTTCCGAAGCTTCTCAATGCTAGGATTATAGGTAGGCCACCATGCACAGCTGTGATCGTAAATTTAATTTTTATTTTATTTTGGTTAATTTTTTTTGTTAAAGCGCAGGGTCTCTCTGCATAACCCTAGGTGGCCTGAAACTCAAAGATATGCTTGTCTCTACCTCCTGAGTTCTGGGATTGAACCACAGAACTACCACCACACCACACCTAGCCTCTGATAATTTTTTTAATAACTAAAGAGTGAACTTTTTTTTCTTTTCAAGACAGAGTCTCACTATAAAACTCTGGCTGTCATGAAACTCACTCTGTAGACCAGGCTGGCCTTGAATTCATAGAGACCCACCTGCCTCTGCCTCCTAAGTGCTGGAATTAAAGGTGTGCACCACCACACCTTGTGGCATTTTTCCTTTTAATCTCTTTAAAAAACTGAAATGTTAAAAAAAAAAAACTGAAATGTACTATACTATTAATAGTATTTCCCACACTTTAATAGCATTTATTAAAAAAATATATAGCAAGAACAGTTTTCTCCATTAAACACAAAACCATCAATCCTGACAATGGTATAATGTACCTTGAAGAACTTTCAATTCAGCTTCATCACTAAACTTTGGTGGCCCAGCACTTTCAACTACACAGCGGTAGAGTCCCCCATCTCCTCCAGTCACATTGCTGACAACCAGTGTTCCGCTTGGAAGTTTGACAACCCTGTCATCCAGAAGAAGGGGCTGTCTGTTCTGTTCCCACCTTACAAATGGGACTAAATCTGCATTAACTTCACAATTCAGAACTGCACTGTTTCCAACATAGACTGAGGAAGGTTCTGGTTGGCTGGTAAATCTTGGAAGACCTGGATAATTAAAAAAAAAAAAAAGTCATTAAATATTACTCTAAAATATAGTTTTATGGCCTAGTACCCACATAGCTCATGTGGCCACAACATATGGTACAATCAGGGCCAAGAAGGTCAGTTCATGGGTCAAAATTTGGCTACATACACAGATATAGAACAATTAGTAACTAAATAAATGCATTAAGGATAAGGTACATCAAATCCCTCCTAGCTGTAAAAGCAAGGTGCGATGTGAAAAATGATAAGGACTGAATAAATGCTATGGCATATTCCATGATGAAAGTACTCAGTATAGACTTATGGCTTATCTACAGATACAGAGCTATGTAGCTATAAAAGCATGGGTAGACATCTTGTATATATAGCCAACGACAATGACATGTTTAAATATTCAAACACACATATATACAGCTACGCACTCCCTGGCCTGAATCAACATCACTTCTTTAACAGTGTGTCCAAATGGTGACCTCGTCATGATCTCTAAGTATCATCCTCCACTGCAAGGGGCCAATGTCCCTGGGGTGGAGGCCAGTCCTGAGAGTGGCACAGGGAAGTACAAGGTGAAGTAGGCTCCTCAATTTATGCCATTAATCAAACTTTAACCTTAATATATAAAGGAAGAAACAGTTTAACACAGAAATCAAGACTGAAAAGTTTCTAGAATAATGGCACCAGCACATTATTAAACCGAGAATCTGTTGACTCCTGTTAACATTAACAAACAAGCAGAGTAAAAGGAAAGGATCTACTGAATAGAGATGACAGAAGTAGTAACAACAGCCATTTACCAGCCACTATCTTAATAGTTGATTCAGGCAACAATCTTTCAATGGATATTATAACTATTAGTGAAAATTGACGAGGAATAGTGTTGTATTTATAAAATGCCAAAACATTTGTTCCCCAAATACCACTTAATAATTATAAAAACTGACCTTATTTTAAGGTGAAGAAATATTATATAGATCATAAGTAACAAAGCAAACATCACTAGCAACAAAGCATTACAGACTTCGGTGCGCTACACTAAGAACACTACACTATTCCGTGGTATTCCTCCCTAAAATGAAGCATCTCAGTCTCTTCCTAGGAGGAAATAAAAAAATTGAAACAAGGAAACCTGAGGCCCTGTTTTGTGTCAAATGAGCGTAAGGATTATATAATTATACAACGGAACAGATAAAAAGAAGGGTGGTTTCTGTATTCCCTTCCCCCATGATCTTTAAAATCTGTATTAAATGACAGCTTTACATTAATTTTTATTTCCTGAAAGCCCACAGTTACTTAGGAGCTGCCCTTGCTTTGGGGAAGTGCATGCTTAGACATTCAGGCACATTTAACATGTCTGCCAACTACTACTCTCAATGGTTCAGGGGAAAATGTGCACTTGGGTAACGTGCTGGATAGTTTTGTGTCAACTCAACACAAGGTGGAGTTATCAGAGAAGACAGAACCACAGTTGAGAAAATGCTTCCATAAAACTGCCCTGTTGGCAAGTGTGTGAGGTGCTGTCTTCATTAATGATTAATGTGGCAGGGCCCATTTCACAGGAGGTGATCTTGGACAGGTGATCTTGGGTGCTTAAAGAAAGCAGGACAAAGCTCTGTGTGGTGGGGCATGCCTGTAATCCCAGCACTCTGGGAGGCAGAGGCAGGCAGATTGATGTGAGTTTGAGGCCAACCTGGTCTACAAAGCAAGTCCAGGACAGTCAAGGTTACACAGAGAAACCCTATCTCAAAAAACAGAAAGAAAAGAAGAAGGAAGGAAGGAGAAAGAGAGAAGGAAGGAAGGAAGGAAGGAAGGAAGGGAGGGAGGGAGGGAGGGAGGGAGGGGGGAGGGAGGGAGGGAAGTAGGGAGGGAGGGAGGGAAGTAGGAAGGGAGGGAGAGAAGTAGGAAGGGAGGGAGGGAGGGAGGGAGGGAGGGAGGGAGGGAGGGAGGGAGGGAGGAAGGAAGGGAAAGCAGGATAAACAGGCCATGGGGCAGCAAACCAGTAAGCAGCACACTTCATGACCTCTGCTTCAGTCCCTGCCTTGTTAGGTTCCTACCCTGATCTCCTACCTAAAGGATGTGACCCAAGAGCTCTAAGCTGAAATAGCCCTTCCTCCCCACGTTGCTTTTGGTCAGTGTTTTGCCACAGTAATAGAAACCTAATTAGGACAGGGAATTACAAAGAAGATGTTGAAAACGTTAACTGGGAGATCCGGAAGGCATATCAAGACTTGTGAGACTACATGAGGTTTCTTGGTTCTATCTTTGTAACTATCGCCTAGGTCTGAAATTGCGGAAGTTCTAAATATTCTATAGATGCCACAGAATATAATGGCTAAGAGCATTAGTCTGCCACTGGAGTCTGAATCTTGAATTTAAATTAATTCCATCTTTTATTGTTATACAAAGGTGTTAAGTTATTGATTCTAAGTTTCAGTTTCTTTATCAGTTTAATGAAAACTAACAGCACTCACAGTGTGATTAACCTAAGTAATTCATATGGTATGCCTGGTACACACTTACAGTACCTTACAAGTGATTCTAATGTGCTCAACATAATGTCTCTGTAAAGACTAGGAAATAAATTGTTAACAATTATTCTAGGCTTTCTAATTTTATGATGGTAACTTAGTCCAAATAATAAAAAACACCCAAGCTTTCTAGTCCTGCTATGTGTTTTCTTTGTTTTTATATTAAGGAGATTTTCAAAGGAAAGCATGAAAGATAAAACTTTCTAAGTATCTATTTGGTAAACAAACAAAAATCAGGAAAAGGAAATTAACAAAGATTAAACACAGAATCTAATAAAGCTAGGTGGAAAGAACTTAATAAATATTAGGAAGAATGTCTGCTAGTTTTTAAGCAAGAAATATTCCCTTTAGAGGTTTTATGAAAATGAGTAATTTTAAAAAGCATAAACCCATAACAACATACAGGGATTTGTCAGACAAGAAATTTCAAAAAGTTTATGAATAGAGAAAGCAGATGGATAAACTAGTCAATGACATATCAAGGCAAAGACTGCCTCAGCTCCTGTGCTCCCTCTGGAGAAATGCAGAGAAAAGAGTGGAAATGATATGGAGTTGGCATGAATGTCTCCATGTAGACCATGCCATTCCCTAACCGTTGGGCACAAAAGACACACAGGTAGGTTACACTCCCAGAAAAACAACACAAACGTCATCTGTGCAGAAAAGGGACAGCCCAGGGAAAAGCAGCCTCATATTTAATTCTGTGAACTACCTCTTTAATATTCTTTGAAAACTTCCCTGTTTTCTTTATTTTTTCTATTTAATTTTTAACATTATTTTATTATTATTATTTATTACAATTTATTTACTTTGTATCCTGGGTGTAGGCCCCTCCCTCATTTTCTCCTGGTCCTACCCTCCCTTCCTCTTCCCCTACTCTGTTTCTTCCCTAGTTCACTGATAGGAGAGGTCCTCCTCCCCTTCTATCTAACCCTTGCCTATCAGGTCTCATCAGGACTGTCTGAATCCTCTTTCTCTGTGGCCTACTAAGGCCACCCTGCCAGGGGGAGTTGATAAAAAAGCAGGCAACCAAGTTCATGCCAGTGACTATCCCCTTTACTAGGGTACCCATATGGAGACATAGCTGCCCATGGGCTACATCTGAGCAGGGGTCTAGGTCCCCCCTATGCATGGTCCTTGATTGATTCATCAGTCTCTGCAGGTCCTCCTGGGCCCAGCTCTTTTGGCTATGTTGTCTCCTTGTGAAGCTCCTGTCCCCTACAAGTCTTTCTATCTACCCCTTCTTCCATAAGATTCCCTGCACTCTGCCTAAAGTTTGGCTATGAGTCTCAGCATCTGTTTCACTTTGGAAATCAATCCAGTGCTTTCTCAGAAAATTAGGAATAGTGCTACCTCAAGATCTAGCTCTACCACTCCTGGGCATATATCCGAAAGATGCTCAACCACAACAAGGACATCTGCTCAACTATGTTCATTGCAGCTTTATTCGTAATAGCCAGAATCTGGATACAAACTAGATGTCCTTCAACCGAAGAACTGATACTGGAATTGTGGTACATGTATGTAATGAAATACTACTCAGCAATTAACAACAAGGAAATCATAAAATTTGCAGGCAAATGGCTGGAACTAAAAGATCATCCTGAGTGAGGTAACCCAGAAGCAGAAAGACACACATGGTATATTCTCATTTCTAAGTGGATATTACCCATACAATACAAGATAAACATAGGAAAATCTATAGTCTTAAAGAAGCTAAACAACAAGGAGAACCCTAGGGAAGATGCTTAACCCTCATTCAGAAGGGCAAATAGGATAGACATCAGAAGTGGGAAAAGACAGGGAACAGGACAGGAGCCTTCCACAGAGGGCCTCTGAACTTCCTTGTTTTCTAGCCATGACTAAAACTAGTTCTGTTTGCAAGCAAAAATATGTGTAGTCTTTTAAAATGGCAAATTTGACAATATCTTTTTTTAAATTTTAAAGTAAATAATTTATAAGCCATGAAGTTTCCCACTTGAAGTACAGAACTCAGTATGAATAAGCTGTGTAAAAATATCCAGAAGTTAACCCTTTTAGCATCTCTTAAAGAAACTACTCATTTGTATTCCCTGTACTGCTGGACTCAGTTCCCATATCAGGTACTTAGCCCTGGGAAACCAGTCAACTTGTTTTCTCTATATATACATTTTCCTATTCTGAGCACTTTGACATATGAACTTAACAGCGTTCAGTTGTTTATGACTGGCTTCTTTAACTTACCACAATATTTTTACAGTTAATCCACGTATTCATATTGTATTGTGACTTCATTCCTTTTAACTGGTTAAGGCTTAATGTACTGACTTCCTCTACAATATCACTGAAGCCAGGCTTCTGCTTATCATTTATGCTCTAACCATCTCTTTGACAGCCTCTTTCTTGTATCTTTTTTCACTTGCTGTCCACTAAACCCTACCATCAGGAACCAGGATGCTGGCTTTACTAAGTGTTACTAAGCCACACGGATTAGTATGAGTAGGCTTTAAAGCCATCAATTTTCCAACAGAACTGCCTCTTCCATTTCCAAGGTAAAGGAAACACTGCTTAGTAGTTCTGGGAGCAACCCTGAACCTTAAGACAGTCAAAAAGAACGCTAGTGTATTCTACACAACCCTAACCAAAGGGGTACAGCCTCATAAATAAGAACACGTACAACTCGCATGGTAAATGGCATTACCCAGCAACTGAAAACTGGTGCATACTGCTTTTAGATTTAGACCTTATAAAAATAGAAAATCCAAGTAAATCACTGAACAGGACTTACCTGCTACTGTGAGCTTTGCTGTTCTACTGACAATAGTTCCAAGATTATCAACAGTGGCTACACACTGATAGAAACCTTCATCAGGCTTATTGTGTTTGGAATGCACCACACTGCTGATGAATAAAGATCCATCTGGGAGAAGCTGTCGGCGATCATCTGATACTAAGTTTAAAAAAGTTCCATCTTTCTTCCATTCAATTTTTGGAGAAGGCTCAGAATATGCCGAGCAGTTTAATATAACAGAAGAACCTCTAACTGAGAGTGTGTCCACTGGCTCCGCCAGAAAATAAAACGGAGTGAATGTTCGAACACTGGCTCCTACAAAAACAACAAAAAGGACACGATAAATAAAAATGGCTGTTATTTCTGAAAGAATAAACAACATATTCAAAGATTACTCTCATATGATTACTGAGTATGATACACTATGGATATAAGATGAATAAAATTTACTGCTAAAAATCAAATGACTCATTTAGGATAGCTTAGTTTAAAAACTTGAGACAAGACTTATGAGATAATGAGTAGCTAATAAAAGCTTAATTGAAAACTCCACAATGGAGTTTATAACTATTAAAGTTACTACATTCAAAATCACGTTTTCCAAAGAACACAGAGGCAGAAAACTGAAATGACTCACTGTAAATAAAATACTTTTAAGTTATTATTATTACATTATTTTCATTACTTAATACACATTTTGCACATTTCCCTAGTACTCATCCTCTTGACATATAAGCAACCTCTGGTGGTAACAATCACATTTTAAAATATCCCCCTTTCCATCTAACTTTACAATTTTGTTATAAGAAAAGAAATACTTTTTGGCCTGGGAAGATAGCTCAGTAAGTAGTGTGCTTGCTTCCTGCACAGTGTAAGGATCTCAGTTCAGATCCCCAGCACCTACGTGAAAGCCAGGCAGCACAAAGCATGGCTGGTGGCTCCTAGAAACTCACTGGCCAGCCAGTCTAGCTAAAAGAAGGGGCTCTAGGTTCAGTGAGAAACCTGTCTGAAAAACTAAGGAAGACGGTGAGAGAGAAAGGTCCAGTGCTGGCTCTGTTCTCCACAAGCCCATGCAGGGATATGTACATTGCATGCACACGCACATACAAACACACACATAACCTTTCAAAGTAAGCAATGTTTTAAACCACACAAAATTAAGTGTTGTTTTTGGGAAAGTTTTCTTAAGAATATGAAATTTTGAAAATATTTTTACATTTATTTTATGTATACAAGTGTTTTGTTGCATGTCTGTGCACCATGCTCAGGTACTGCCTACAGGGTCAAAAGAGGGGCTATCTCCCCTGGAAAGAGTTATAAATCACCGGGAACCACCACTTGGGTGCTGGTGACTGAAACGCTAAGTCATCTCCACCCTATCCAATTGTCGTAAGCCTTATTCATTCATGTTACATTTTTAAAATTTCATTTTCTATATTTATTTTTCATCAATAATTAATTTTGATGTAAAGAGCACAGGAGGACTCAGCTTAACCTTTCTAGGTCTTTGGCTGGCACTTTGAACATATGAAGAAAAAAAATTACAAAGAAAACATTTTCTGTAAACTGTATGTTAGCCAGATAAAGCTTTACCTTTTATTAAAACAAACAAACAAACAAAACCACTCAGGCAGTAATCAGACTAACTCTAAAGCAAAGCCTAACTCTAAATTATTTGTAAATTATTTAAACTGTGAATTTAAGATACATTAGTCCTATATTATAAAATGGGTGACTGGAGCTAAATAAATGTGAAACAGTACAGCAAAAGGAGAAACAATAAATAGAAACTTTTCAACTGTTTGAAACGTTTCCCAGAACTTAGAAACCTAGACAAATTCCAAACCACTCATTCTTCTCCCAAACACCACAGAGTGTTACAAAAAGGCTCAGGTCTCCACTCCCACAGAGGAGGGCTTCATAATATACGTATGAAGTCTTAAAATCTCTGGAAATGAACTTAGCAATTTCTGAAAAGTTAACAAATCATTTTACTTCTTCCTATTCAAATGTCTACATCATTAACTTTCTGGAACAATGAAAGATACAAAACGATAGTTAAACTGCACAAAATGAAAGCTACACTGTGCTCTTCAGTCTTCCTGTGTATTACACCTGCACTACATCATCTAAATCTAACAAAGGAACTCAAAAGAGACCACTTTATTAGCAGGACAATGAAAATATGCAAGTTTAACTTTAAAATATATTACATACATAATGCACAAGCAATATTAAAACCATTAGTATAAAACTTTTACCATTAAAAAAAAAAAAACGAGGCATCACCTCAGCACCTGAGAAATGGAAAAGTTCAGAAGTTTTAGATTGCCTTCCACTGAGGCCAGTCCCTGGAGCACGAGTCACAAACAAAATCAAAAGATGACTGCAACAATTTACGCGGCATTTGTTTGTTTGTTTATTATTACAATCTATTTATTTTGTATCCCACTGTAGCCCCCCCCCATCTTCTGCCAGTCCCACCCACCCTCCTTCTTCTCCCCCTATGCCCCTCCCTTAGGCCACTTACAGGGGAGGACCTCCTCCCCTTCTCTCTGACCCTAGCTTATAAGGTCTCATCAGGACTGGCTGTTCTTCCTTTGTGGCCTGGCAAGGCTGTACCACAGCCTCTCTCCACAGGGAGAGGCGATCAAAGAGCTTGCCACTGAGTTCATGTCAGAGACAGCCCCTGATCTCCTTACTGGGGAACCCACTTGGAAACTGAGCAGCCTATGGGCTTCATCTGAGCAGGGAGTTGAGGTCCTCTCCATGCATGGTGCTTGGTTGGAGTATGGGTGTCTGCAGGGCTCCTTGGGTCCAAGTTTTTTGGCTCTGTTGGTTTCCTCCTTGTGGAGTGCCTGTCCCCTCCAGTGTCTATCTCCCCCTTCTTCCATGAGGTTCCCTGCACTCTGCCCAAAGTTTGTTGTTGTTTTAGATAAAGTCTCAAGTAGTCCAGGCCTTGAATCCTGAACTTGCTATGTAGTGGAGGGTGGCCCTGAACTCCTGACTCTCTTGCCTTAGCTTCCCGAATGCTAGTATCACCAAAAATAATACAGCAATCACATGAAGGTTACACAGCCAAGCATAAAAAACTACTTTGAACTCAAAGTCCACAGTTTTCAGCAAATATTGCTGCCTTCCAAAAAAAGTTTGAAATACTCCTGAGAATTTTCTGAGGTGCCTTGGGCTGTACACCTCAAGGCAACCTGTGATCTGTTAGGTAAGGATTTGTATTTTTACGGTATTTTTTTTAATTCAGTCATATTCCTAATATCCTAGTGCAATGTATAAGCTTCATCTCTATATTATATAACATAATTTCTAAAGCTAGGCCCACTGGTTAAAGTATTAATAAGGTTACAGTCTCCAGTCTAACTAGCTAGTTAGTTGCATGTCTCTCTCTTCCATGCTAAGACTTCAAGAGAATGTTTTGTAAGCGCTGATAAGTTTCTAAAATATTATATAGAAGAAAAAGGAAAGCCAAGAAAAGCCAAAATAATTTTATATAAGAAAGAAAAGGGCCTTTACCCGTTAGGTGTCAGTTCTTAGAACTATTAAGCAATCACAGTTCAGAAGCAAAGGATTTAAACAAAACAAAACACAAGCTCAAAAGAGACTTTAAAGCCTATAAATAGAGACACTTTGGGGAAAAGAATGAAATTTAAACTGGAGAGATGACCCAGCAGTTAAGAGCATTTCTTGCTCTTGCAGAGGACACAGGTTCAGTTCCCAGCACCCACATGGCGGCTCACAACTGTCTGTAACTCCAGTTCCAGGGCATCAGTGCCCAACTCTGGCCTCCGTGAGCACCAAGCACACATGTGGTTCACTTATATAAATGCAAGCAAAACACTCACATACACAAAATGTAAATAAATAAAGTCTTTATTCTTAAAATTAGGAGAACTTTCAACAATGTCACTAAGACAGCTGGCCTTATGGGGGACATGAGATGCCTACCCCTAACATGTAAGACTACAACCAACAGGTTTAAACATTTTCCACATCTGCATCCCTCGTTATGAGAAATGGTCCTAGTATCATCTCCATTTCATAAAGAAAGCAGCACAGAAATGTTAAGTAATTTTTTAAAGGTCACACGGGTAAGAACAAAACCTGAGTCTAAAATCCCAAATACTGAGATGTCACTAAACACATCTATAAAATTCATCTCAGACATATGAAAAGTGAAATTGGGAAAAAAACAAGGATAACCCTGGAGCTTAGACAATTTTAAGGAGGAAACCTCACAGAAATAGCTTTACTTTCTTGAATTTAAAAAACACATTACACTTTTGCAAAACACAGAAACAAAGCAGGCAAGCAATAAATTAGAGAAAAATGATTTTGTACACAAGAGAGAATTAAAAGTCCAAAGTACTCAATAGAAAAATGCCGAGGTTGTATCCCAATGAAACCATCCCAATATGTGGCAGGATGAACTGAATCCACTCCAAATAGTTCAACAAGTCCCTACCTGTCTCAGAGTGTAATCCAGTAAAAGTGGAGCTATGTTTTCTAACAGGCCTGGAGTTCTGTGGAAAATGAGTAATGCCAAAGAATGTAAAGTATAGCTGCTTCCTGAGTATGTGAGTACATGAACACTCAGAAAGTGGTCAGAAAGTGGTTACTGTGAAGGAAAAAGACGGGACGATAAGAGTAAATATCTGTAAACACATATAAAATGACTCACAATTTAAGAGAAAAATCGCTTACTGTTCAACAACCACTTGCAAGAGCAGAGAAACGGTTTTTAAAGGATCTATCATTTCTTTAACAGTTTTCCTTTGGGACTGCAGAGGGCTGTGAGATACCCCTGCGCTGACTTTATATAAAAACTGACCTGTACTTTGCACCAGTCCTCATACAGCATCTACTTTGGTCTGCAGAACATTAGTTTACTAAGGCCAGAATAGCTGGTGAAATATGTTGAAATAAGCTTAATGGATCCTGTCTGGTGTTTCCTACATTTTCAAATCTACAAATTTCTCACTTCTTAATAGAATAGTTCTCACTTCTTGATAGACTATTCCTCGCTTTTTGATAGAGTACTTCACACCTCTTGATAGAATCCCATCTTAGGGAAGGATAGCATCCACTGGGAACTACTTTCAGTCATAAGCACCATCCAGAAAATACCAGCAAATCTAACTGTATGCCTCATATTTGCTGTAAATTTTCTAGTCCCCATAGCAAGATACCAGAGCAAGGTATTTTAATGCAGAAATAAAACCCTGCTCTTCTGCAGGAAGAAGTGCAAAGTTTAATAGCAGAAATGCAGAGCAAGCCTCTTTATGAACCTACTAATGGAATCA